ACACATACCATCATTAGTCCCTACTTCAGTGAATTTCTATAATGTGACCATATCGATAAACTTTACTATGATTTGGTGTTTGTACTCTATTAATCTTGGTAAGTAACACATATTAAGGATGAACTCAGCCTATACCTCTGTCTTTGGGGCCCCCCACGGCACACGCATGTGCACACACACACTCCCCTAATTAAATGGGGCTGGGACATGAACAGTGTCACCTACTCTAATGACAAACAGGTTCATGAGCAAGTGGGGGAAGTAAATAAACCCAACAGTTTACAGAGGGATATAGGTCAAGTTGGGCTGAGCTGGGCTGGGCCCAGAGTGATTCAGGCTCTGCCACAGAATGGGTGTCTCCTGGGATGGCATAGTAGAACAATTAAAACCCCTATAAATAGGATGGGTTTTCAGGTCTCCAGCATCCTCTCCAGTCTCTGAATCTTCTGCACCTTCCTCCTTAAGCAGGTAAGACAAGCAGAGCCAGCTGTGATGTGCTGGGCTGGGGAGGTCTGAAAGTGCTCCATGGAAGCATCTTGCTTCCTTTTCCTGAGCTCTGAGGCTATGATGACCTGTTTCTGGGCCTAAAGGATATGCATGCCTTAGCTTCAGTATGTCCTAGGCACCCCGAAACTGAGGGCTAGGACTATTGGTAGATACCTTAGTCTCCCATAGCGGGGCTTTATCTTTTCTGCAAGTTAGGCAAGACCCATGAGTTTAGGGCCCCTTATAGCCAAGGCCCTAGACATGGGGCCTTAGCAATAGTCAAGTCTCATTGCCAGGAATTGCCACAAGGGATGCAGCTTGTCCCATGCAATTCACTCTTTGCCATTTATTCCTTATAAGTATCACTGCATGCTTTTGGAAGTCCAGTGGTTCTACAGTTAGGGCTTAAGTTTGGAGGCCTGTGAATCCAATAACTGGAATTTTCACACCAAAAGAAGGAATACCATTGAGATCCAGCCTTCCAGCATGGCCAGTGTTGACTTGGCTGACTGTATATACTTCCTATCACTTGTGTAGTTAATTTGGCTGTGCACCCTCTCTGTGATTTTCATTTTTAGCACAATTTTTATTCAATGATTCCATTTTATAAGCATTTTTCAAAATGACCATCCAGGCCGGAAGCACTTGCCAGAATGTAACCTCCTAGGAATCTTCCTTGGCCTATGGTGAGAGACCTCTAGCTTTCTTTTCTGCTTGAGGAAGGCTCGTTAGGAGACTGAGGTCTGTTCAGTGGGGTCAATTCCGTGGACCTTCCGAAGTGCTAGTCACGGGTGGAAAACGATATTCTGTTCTGCTGGCTTCTGGCCCTGCCTCCGTAGGCTGTCTGATCTCCCTTCCTTTGTGCGCTAATATGAGTGTTTCAGTCAAGCAAGTTTCACCCACATTATAGGACAGGGCATGTAAAACACCCTCTCACTCTTTGTGTGTGTGTGTGTGTGTGTGTGTGTATACATACGTATAGTCCCTAAGGGGTGCAAACAGTTTGCGCTCCACTACTAAACCAAAGGTTGGTGGTTCGAACCCACCCAGCAGCACCATGGAAGAAAGGACTGGCAATCTGCTTCCATAAAGATGCCAGCCAAGAAAACTCTCTGGAGCAGTTCTACTCTGTAACACATGGGGTCATCATGAGTCGGAATCGACTTGATGGCAACAGGTTTGGTTTTTCGTTATATATATATATGGGGCAGGGGAGCCCTGGTGGTGCAATGGTTAAGAGCTCGGCTGCTAACCAAAAGGTCGGCAGTTCGAATCCACCAGCCGCAGCCGCTCCTTGGAAACCCCATTGGGTAGTTTTACTCTGTCCTATAGGGTCGCTATGAGTCGGAATCGACTCGACGGCCATGAGTTTTATATATGTGTGTGTGTGTGTGTTTAATGACACATTGTCTCTTTTACTAGCAAGGAAACCACAATTTGCACCCACCTCCCACCATAGTATGTGGTATTTGGAGCTTGACTATGGCGTCGAAAGGAGTGAGGAGTATGGCTAAGAAGGAGCTCTGTCATTTTTCAGCTTCTTTCCCAGACCAAGAGCGGCCACTTTTCCTCTGAAAATGCTGTCTCCTGATCTTCATCCTAAATACAGACAAAATCTTGTTTCTTCCTTTAGATCCACCTGTATTTGCCAAAATGGCTCAACTCCTGAACAGCATACTCACCGTGATCAAGGTGTTCCAGAAACATGCCAAAGAGAATGGGGACTGCGCCTCGCTGTGCAAGAAGGAGCTGAAGCAGCTACTCTTGGCTGAGTTTGGAGACATCCTCCGGGTAAGGTGGGCTCAGGGTAGGCCCCGGCCTCATGGAATCGAGTGTGAGTGACTCTGCTACCTGCATCCAAAACACTCACCAGGGCTTAGTGTTTTTTGCTTTATATGGTCATGCTCCACCTTCACCCTGTAACAAAAAGAATTTCCAGCAGCTGCTCAGTAGTTCTCTTCCAGCTCATGCACGTGCATGTGTGAGTGTGCACACACACATACACATAGACACACATGCACACACACACACACATAGACACACATGCACACACATACACATAGACACACATGCACACACACACATAGACACACATGCACACACACATACACATAGACACACACGCACACACACACATAGACACACACGCACACACACACATAGACACACACGCACGCACACACAGACACACATGCACACACACACACATAGACACACATGCACACATACACATAGACACACACACAGACACACATGCACACACACAGAGACACACACAGACAGACACACACGCACACACATAGACACACACGCACGCACACACATAGACACACATGCACACACACACAGAGACACACACAGACACACACGCACACACATAGACACACACGCACGCACACACAGAGACACACATGCACACACACACAGAGACACACACAGACAGACACACACGCACACACATAGACACACACGCACGCACACACAGAGACACACACACAGACACACACGCACACACATAGACACACATGCGCACACACACATAGACACACGCACGCACACACATAGACACACATGCACACACACACAGAGACACACATGCACACACAAACAGAGACACACACAGACACACACGCACACACATAGACACACACGCACGCACACACAGAGACACACACACACAGACACACACGCACACACATAGACATACATGCGCACACACACATAGACACACATGCACACACACACATACACACAGACACACATGCACACACACCCTTCTTGTAGCTGAGTTTGAACAGGAAGGAGCATAACTTTAAAGTAACTTGGAATCATTTCTCAAAAGGAAATCTAAGACTGATATCTTGATTGCTATATTTTAGAGCCATCTATACATCTTATTATGTATCATTCATTCAATAAAGAGTCACTGAGCACATACTCTATACTAGCACCATCCTAGGCACTGGATTAATAGACGGTCTTCCCCTCCCTCCAAGATCTCAGTGTAGTGAGAAAGACATAGGAAAACCAACAATTAAGATATACCATGTGATGGGATGGGATAACTTCCTCAAATGGCTCAAATTAATTATTAACAGAGCTGATTTTAAATGGACATATCTACACCTTATGATCATGCTCCCACTGGTCCAGCAAGGGATGAGGTTCTGAGGATCAGCTGATCAAAGACTAGAACCAAGCCCAAGTCTTCAGATTAAAGGTTTCTCAACCAAGGAAGCCCATACAGAACTGAATGGACTGGGGCATGGACATTGGCACATATCTTACTATTCACAAGAGAACATCTGATCTGAGTCTTTGTTTTATCTTCTTACAGAGACCAAATGACCCAGAGACTGTGGAAACCATCCTGAGCATCTTGGATCGAGACAGAAATGGACGTGTTGATTTTCATGAATACCTCTTGTTGGTGTTCCAATTGGTCCAAGCCTGCTATCGTAAGCTAGATATCGAGTCATATGGAGACAGAACCTCCCGACAAGAAGAAGGGCAGGAGGGAGCACAAGACCATAAGTTCCCAAGAAACAGAGACAGACAACACAGACATAGGCAAGAGGAAGAAAGGCAGGATTCCCATCATGGTCAGTCTGAAAGACAAGATAGGGACTCCTGCCATGATCAGTCTGAAAAACAAGATAGGAACTCCCGCCATGGTCAGTCTGAGGGACAAGACAGGGACTCCCACCATGGTCAGTCTGAGAGACAAGACCAGGACTTCCATCATGGTCAGTCTGAAAGACAAGATAGGGACTCCAGCTTAAATCAGTCTGAGAGACAAGGCCAGGACTCTAGCTATGGTCAGAAATTGAGTCATAAGTCCAGCAACGGCCAGCCTAAAAGACAAGGATATCTCTTTGCCGTAAATCAGTGTGAAAAACCAGTTCAGGATTCTCATCACAATCAGTCTGAAAGGCTTGGACTACGATCAAGCTGTGGCCAGACTAGAAGACTTGGACAGGACACTTGCTCTAGCCGTACAGAACAACAGGAATCAGGCTCTATTTATGGACAGTCTGGAAGGCTGGCTCAGGAATCAGGCTGTGGTCAGAGAGACAGGCAAGGACTGGATTCTCAATATGGTCAGACAGACAGACAAGGCCAGGGTTATCACTATGGTCAGAGAGAGACGGGGGAAACTGAAATACAAGGGCAAAATAGGTATTTCCAAGGAAGTGAGGGAATAAGAAGAGACACACATGTTGAGCAATCAGGAAGGTCACGGAGACTAAATCAACAGACTCAAGGACAAGAAGTGAATCCAAACCAGAGGCAGGGGTCCCAGAAAAGACTCCAGGCATGGGAAAGGCAGCTTGAGGATACTCAACACCACCAACACAATCTCTTGGCAGAAATCCAGCAAGAAAGGTCACTCTGCCACAAAAGGAGAGACTGGCAATCAAGTGGCAGTGAGCAGGACCACAGACAGGCCCAGACCCAGCAGAGCCATAGCGAGGGGAAGAGCCACCGGACAGAGGAGAGGCAGAGTCATCAAAGCTGGGGTAGACAGAGCCATGAGGGCCAGGAAAGTCCATGTGAGGCACAGGACGGGCAAACCCGTGAAGAGGAACAAAGCTGTCAGACAAGGGACAAGCAAACCCGTGAAGATAAGCAGAATCATCAGAGACAGGACAGGCAAACCCATGAAGATGAGCAGAACCGTCAGAGACAGATCAAGCAAATCCATGAAGATGAGCAGAACCGTCAGACACAAGACAGGCAAACCCATGAAAATAAGCAGAACTGTCAGAGACAGGATAGGCAAACCCATGAAGATGAGCAGAACCATCAGAGACGAGACAGGCAAACCGATGAAGAGGATCAAAACCTTCGACGACAACAGAATACACAAACCTATGACGGGGAAGAGAGGTATGAAAGGTCCCAGAATCAACAATCCCATGGGACCCAGCAAGGTTGTTCTAACAGAGAAACTTTCCACATGAATGAAGGTGGCCTGAGCCGAGGCTCACAGGGAAGACGTAGTGACCCAGCTCTCCATCCAACCCAAGGCAATGGGAGGCCCCAGAGAAGAGAACAGGGTGGAGGTCATCCTACCAAGGCAGCTATTTCTTCCAACCCCCTTTATGACTACGTACAAGAACAGAGATCCCATCAGTACTAGGCTGCACGATCACCAATGCTAAAGCAACACGAAGCCAAGGAAGAAACCTGCATGTCAAGTTCATCTTTACTTCTCTCTAAGAGCTTGACAACGTATGTCTGCTCTCTATCCTCCACTTTATCTACATGCAGTGATGCTTTTGAGGACCAATATTCACTTTTAGGGCATGTCAGTTCTTTGAGCAACAATTCTAGGGTTTTCTGGTTAGGTGAAATCTGAGTGGTAAATTGGGTGAAATAATCAGATCCTAATTTTGATCCATTTGAGGACTTAATCATTTCCTGGTTTGCCCTCTGTGTAGGTGGGCCTGATTGGATCATTGCAAGGCAGAACACTTCTCCTAAAAGCTCAGAAACAGGAAAGGTATTCTGAAGACTTGTGTTACAACCAGGGGGCAGGAAACTTGAGCTTGGATGCGATTTGCCTCCTATGGATGAAGCATAGAGAATCGCAAGGCACACGGTCTAGACTGAGAGGAAATACAGCGAGAGGCTGCTAGAGGAGCCAGAGACCACAGGCTCTAAATGGTCATTAAGTCTTACCAATTCTAAATCCTCCATATCTCTTCCCACTTCTTCACCTCCACTGCCTTAATTTCCCTTCTCTTCGGTGGCTTCCAAGTGAAGTTAGAATAAAAGTCAGACTCCTTTGTATGGCACACAAGCCCCTTCACTATCTGACCCAAACGACCTTCCAAGCCAAGTCTCAAGAGACACTCTAGTGACACCAAGGACTTGACCTTTCCTTAATACACTGCCATCTTGTGTTAATTCATATCATTGAATATACTACTCCATCAGCCTGGGACACCTCTTCTCCCTTTTCTGCCTGGAAAAACCTAGGCATTCTCTGGGTCACAACTAAAGCATCCCATCTTCTGAGCAGCATTCCTGGACACTCCAAGCACTCCTTCCTTTAAGTTCCCACTCACTCCTGTTACATCACTTGTCACACACTTCACTGTAATTCTCTCCCCTACCAAACTGAGAATAAGACCATAGCTTACTCAGCCTTGTACTACTCAGCACTTAGGCAGCCACTGATGTCTAGTGGCAACCACTGTTTGCTGGATAGGTGGACGAATGGAGGAGACAAGTCTGGCTTCAAAATAAATTGTCAGTTTGTCGTACTATGGTAGCTTGTATGTTGCTGTGATGCTGGAAGCTATTTCCCCGGTATTTCAAATATCAACAGGTTTGCCCAGGGTGGTGAGGTTTCAGTGAAGCTTCCAGATTAAGACAGACCAGGAAGAAAGGCAGGAGATCTGCTTCCAAAAATTGTTATTATTAGGTGTCATCAAGTCTATTTTGGTTCATAGCAACCCTATGTACAACAGAATGAAACACTGCCCAGTCCTGTGCCATCCTCATGATCGTTGTTATGTTTGAGCCCATTGTTGCAGCCACTGTGTCAATCCATCTCATTGAAGGTCCTCCTCTTTTTTGCTGACCAACCATGATGTCCTTCTCCAGGGACTGGTCCCTCCTGATAACATGTCCAAAGTACCTGAGACCATCATCGCTTCTAAGGAGCATTCTGGCTGTACTTCTTCCAAGATAGATTTATTTCTTCTTCTAGAAACTCATGGTATAGTCAATATTCTTCACCAACATCACAATTCAAAGGCATCAATTCTTCTTCGATCTTTCTGATTCATGTTCAGCTTTCACATGCATATGAGGCGGTTGAAAATATCATGGCTTGGGTCGGGTGCATCGTAGTCCTCAAAGTGACATCTTTGCTTTTCAACACTTTAAAGAGGTCTCTTGCGGCAGATTTTCCCAGTGCAATACTTCCAAAAATTATCCAGTGAAAACTTTCTGAATCACAACAGAACACTGTCAGACTCACTTGCTTTGGACATGCCATGAAGAGGGATCAATTGCTAAAGAAAGACATTGTGTTTGGTGAAGTAGGGGTCAGTGAGAGGGTAGGAGATCCTCGGTGAGATGGATCGGCGCAACAGATACAATGATGCATTCAAACATGCTAGCGATTGTGAGGATGTGCAGGACCAGGCAATGTTTTGTTCTGTTGGACGTAAGGTCGCCATGAGTCAGGGTTACTCAGTGGCCGCTAACAACAATAATTATACGTAAAACACAGTAACAGACAAGAGAAGTGAAACAATCTGAGTCAACCAAGGAAACAACAACATTTTTACATAGTTTAAATGGAAAGGGATTTAAAGCCAGGATTGTAAGGGCTGAACTACTGGAAACCAGCAAGCAATCCCTGGAACTATTGAGTTCAAAAATACATTACCAAAGCTATAATCCAGGAATCAGCAAGATGGAATCCAGAAGCTGCTGCCATTGCTGCCAAAATTGCCTGCCAACATCCACATCTCCACAACCTTGTTTGCCAAAAGAAACAGCCAAAACCACAATACAATGGCCTCCGGCTTACTCCCACCTTCCATACATTATGCAAACACATCTAATTGGAAAAACATTCATATCCATAATCATAACTACAAGGGAGTCTTTAGAAAATACAGAAACCCCCCAAAAACAAACCCACTGCCGTCAAGTTGAATTCCTACTCACAGGGACCCTACAGGAGAGAGTAGAACTGCCCCATAGGGTTTCCAAGGCTGTAAATCTTTATGGAAGCAGACTGCTACA